CCATTATTTGATAAGAATATTTATTTTTTATTCTCACAAAATTGTAAAATATACAGCTATTTCAAAAAAGGTTTGTGTAAGCTTTTGTTGCATGTTGCATACCATGTCCAAAATGCAATATGGGTGATAAGAATGTGATTAGTGAAATCACAACAACAATTTTGGAATTTTCCCAGACTTTGTTTACACGTTTTTTTGGCATATTTTCTTCTGTGCTGACATTTACATATGGATATTTTATACTTCAAGCTTAGTAAGCAGTATGCAACAAAACCTTAACCAATCTTTTGAAGTAATCTGTATATTTAGTCTAGTAAACTTGATGCTGCAGGGGCAGAGCAGACAGGGAGGCTAGAGCCCCCCCAGGTTTTTCAAAAAGTTAGGAGGTTTTGGTAGATATATATGAACTAATAGACCTACCAATGTAAGCCCCCCACTGCGCCGCCCCTGTGCTGAAGTGCAAACACACTGCAGTCTTCTATTTAGATAAGAATTTGATTTTTTGATATTCTCTTAACCATAAGTTGTTACTCTAACAAACATGACGCTCATGGCCACAAAGTGCATATGTTATCTGAATCCATGAAACCGTACTAATAGATAAAACTAGCAATAACATGCATTAAATTAAATATGCAAATTTATATCCCTTGGCCAGTAGATCTGGTGTGGAGTCGCTTGATAAAACAAACCAAAATTGCGGAGGCAGAGGTTTCATTAAGTTTTGAATATGAACTAGCCAGAGAGTACAAATTATTAATTAAGCTATATAAATAAAATGGTGGTTTAAAGTGCCTGTCGAGGGCCACAGGTTTGTTAGTATTAGTTACTATTAAGTGTTACCCTCGTTAAATAAAGAGTCTACTACTACTACTAGAGTACAAACACTAAAAGTGTGCAACATCACTATTTTGTAGTAAATAGTGCTAATTAAACAATAGGACTAGCATTATTTAGCAGTATTTAGTGGTATTTATGTTACACACTTATAGTGTTTGTACTCTACTGCTACAGCTAACTCAAAATTTTCAGCATTGATTCTGAATGAAGTAAAAAGTTGAATGGTAAAATATTTTTATATGGTTTGTGACTATTGGTCAGAAATTGGCGCAAGCTTTTTGTAGCTCTAAACAAGACGAAACATCTTTGAAAACGAATGCTAGTTTCTCACTTACTGATGTCTCTATGGAGTTTGTATTGAAGAATTTAAAATCACTCAAAGTTAACAAAGCGATTGGTCTGGATAAAATAAGTACAAGAATGCTCAAAGACGCAGCAGAAATAATTGCACCTGTACTTCAAAAATTGATATATTTATCATTTAAAACCGGACAGTTTCATAAGAAGTGGAAATCAGCAAAAGTTATAGCTTTGTTCAAGAACAATGGTGATAGTAATAAATGTGACAATTATCGACCCATTTCGATTCTACCAACTGTCAGCAAGATCATCGAGCATGCAGTACAAAGTCAATTGTATGACTATTTAAATTCAAATCACCTTTTGTGCCCCAGACAGTTTGGTTTCTGTAGCCGAAGATCAACTGCAAGTGCATTATTACAGTTCATTGATAATATTCTGAACAACATGGATAAAGGTGTCGTTTTCTAGGATTTAAAAAAGGCTTTTGATACGGTGAATCGCCGTATCTTATTGAAAAAGCTAACTGAATATGGAGCTGATGTATTATCTGTTAAATGGTTTAAATCATATTTGCACAACCGCCTACAAAAGACTGTGATTGGAAATACCTCCTCATCCTTCAGGCAAGTTACTTTTGGTGTTCCACAGGGTAGTGTGTTGGGCCCATTACTGTTCCTAGTCTACATCAATGATTTGGCCGACTGTCTGATCCACTGTGAAATCTCGCTTTTTGCTGATGATACAGCAATCTACTGTTCAGCATCAACAGCAGATGAACTTGAAAGAAAACTTAATGAAGATCTCTCATATATGAGAAAATGGATGGACAAGCATAAATTAACTCTCAATGTTGTTAAATCAAAATCTATGGTTATTGGGGGACATCAACGCTTGAAGAAATTTGAGTCTATAAATCTAGTGGTTAATCAGCAATTACTAGAAACCGTTGACAATTTTAAATATTTAGGTGTTGTTTTYAATAAGAATTTAAGCTGGGAAGACCACATTGATTATATTCAATCTAAAGTAGCTAAACGCTTAGGAATTCTTAAACGTATTAAGCACTTATTGCCTATTAGCACCAGAAAAATCGTATAATACTTTAATTTTACCCATACTAGATTATGGGGATGTTGTCTGGGGTGACAGGTCTAATATAACTTTAATGAATAGGCTGCAAGTTCAACAAAGTAAGGCAGCAAAGATAATTCTTAATTTACCTGTAAGTTTGTCTAGTTTCTCAGCTTTAGAGGTTTTAGGATGGCAGTCCCTTGAATTTAGAAGACGTTTTCACCGTTGTTTTGTTTTCAAAGCACTAAATGGCCTTGTTGACTTTCGTTTCAATAATTCTCGCTCTAGTGAGCTACATAACTATAATACTAGAAGTACATATGTAGTCTTTTTAGGCGTCTGCCTAAATGCAGAACCAATTGGGGGCAAAGCGCATCAAGCTATTTATTTATTAAGGAATGGAACTCATTACCAGATAGCGTCACATGTGCTGACAATTATAACATTTTTAAGAATCGTTATCTTGATAATTGTAAATAGTTTTTAATTTTAACGCATTTGATGTCGAATGCCATAATTTTAGTGATATTTTATTCAGTATCAATACTAGTTATTTCTTTTTATCTTATTTGTTTTTAGTATTTGTAATTAAGTATATTTCGAGGTCCTTCATGAAAATCACTTTTGGTGATGTTGTTACCTCACGAAATATATATATTCTTATTTTTTTAATAAGAAAAAAAAAATTAATAAAGTCAGCAGAAAATTTACCTAAATACCAAAAACAGCATCTGTATTTCTAAAAAAGAAATGTTTTGGCCATCTTGAAGTTGAAAGAAATATTTTTTGTAGCCTCAAAGTCTATCAAGTCCCCTTCACAGTTCCCTGTGCCATCTTGAAATTTAGCCATGCCTTCCCATGATACATGATAGCAACTTTTTTTACACCTTGGACAATTATTCACACACCTCTAATATTACAAGCTCACCGTTCATGTTTCAGACGTTTTTACCTATGGATAAGCTAATAATTTTATATTAAAGGCATTTCTCCTTCCACATTAGTATTATTGTGGCCCTCTACTTTTAGGAATTGGAAAAGTACAAAGCGACAGTTTACACGACGCCAATTATTATATCCTCAGAACACTATTGGATCATGGGAAATCTGTCCCATATGAACAATTACTAAGTATTGCTAACTTGTTAAAGCAGAAATGAATATATCAGTCTCTTGTACTACTGTATAAATGCTTATTTGGTAGTGCTAGTGGCCCTTCATATCTTTTTAATTTTAGGAAAACCAAATACATGTATTATTTAAGAGGTGATAGCTATATCCTCTAACTCCCTATATATCTATATCTAGTCTTTAGACAGAGCAGAAAAACGACACGCCCGCCACTTTATCACGATTTCTTAAATTTAATCAAGTTAGATACTCCCAATTTTTAACGAAATTTTGTGACGAAATTTTGTAGAATTAGAGTAAATCCTGACTTAAGTATTTACGAAAATGTCAGTTTCTGTGCTGAACAAAAATATATCACTTCTCCCAAAGTACACGGCTTTATATCTCAAATACACATTCAATAAATAAATTTATTACATCCATTTTGAAATCACAAGCAAATCCTGCAATCTGATTGGTTCAATGCAGCAGTGATTTCAGCATAAATTGCACAATTATATCAAGGAATCCATCCGAGTGTTGAGCTCACCGCTTCTTGCGAAAAAAAGAGCCACGGCTCAAAACAAATTTTCTGAAGAACGATTTTACCGTCAAAAGTCGTAAAAAAAGACTTAAAAAGCCGTAAAAAGGACTTAAAAAGACCAACTGATCACTTAAGATTGTCAAAAGCACCTTTGTAAAGTAACTTAAGTAAGTTGAAGATATTACAGCGAAAAGCAGTGGGGGAAAGAGCAATCGGCATCTTTTGAATGTGACTTCTTGGCGATTGATCGTGGAAAGTGGTTTCCTTTTCAATCTGTAAAGCATAACAACACATCAAAAATACAGTCATTAAAAGAAGTTTTTCTTAAGAAGAAGATTTTTGCTGAGCTACGTGACTTCTTAAGGACAACCGAAGGACTAAACAACCTTTGATTTTTGCTGGCACAAGCATGGGCGGATCCAGGATTTTTTCAAAGGGGGGGTTGTAGCATTAATTGATGTGGTGGAGAGATATAGCAGACCAAATGGTTAGGGAGACGATTATTTGCTGCAGGCAAGCATAGTTGTTTCAGGTCCCAGACACGGCGTATAGAACAAAAAAGCTAGCGACATGTGTTCGACACCCCTGTTTTAATAAAACTCGTGATGCTGTTGGTGTTGTCATGAAAATAAATCAATCAATAAATCACGATGTCTCTCATAGGGGGGTTGCAACCCACAAAACCCACCCCTAGATCCGCTACTGGCAAGTGTGATCTTAACATGTTGAACAGAAATCGTAAAAATACAAGCAGTGAGCATTGGCTGTATAGACAACAGCCAGTTCATTTGGGCAAGATTGTCTTGCTATTCAATGTAAGTAAATGATTCTTAATACATGTAATGCCTTTTGGTCCTATATAAATTAATTTTAGTTTTGGATTGAAAGTGTTGGTTTTCAAAATGAGAATCATTGCTCGATCAATACAAACAAGTTCTCTTGACAGCATGTTTGAATCGACTGCTTGTAGATTGTAAGTCATGTCGGTTTAACTGGAAAAAACGTCTTTTTCAAAAAAGATTTCAAAATGGATATAATAAAGTGGTAATTGAACTGAGTGTCGTGCAATTTTGGTCTGAAATCAAACTTGCAATTACAAATCGCACTCCCGCTACGCGGTCGTGAGATTTTGTAATCGCGCGTTTGATTTCAGACCAAATTGCACGACACTCAGTTCAATTACCATTATCTATAAAAATAATTATTTATGATTAAATAAATGATTAATTGATTGATTGATTGGAACAAATAATGTCAAATAAATTTTCACTCTTTGAGCGAGCCATATGCATACCCAAGCTAATAGTACTTCGTCAGCAATCAAACTTCTATAGAATTCCTAGAAACATTAAAAAAAAATTCTTTTAAACAAAATACCACCATGGTATATATTGATTGAGCTTGCTTCATTCTGGACTAATACTCTCTTTTCTTCTTCGTCAGATCACGTAAGTACCATTGGATCTACTGTCTTCTTCAAGTTTAATCAAAGAATTATCAACTTGTGCCAATTTTTATTCTTTCCTTTTATTATCTTTATTGTCTGCGCAGTTAGCATTGGCAGGTTCTGGCCTGGGTTGCAGAAGGGGTTGATGTCCAACCTCAGGCATTCTTTCTACCTGGACTCTCACTTTCTTCTGTTGAACATAACGAAATTTCTTTGTTTCAGATGTTTCAGATATGACAAATATAAAATATACTGGTATATTAATTACAAGTGCCAGTACTAGTGTGTATGAATATTATTATTCAGCAAGTTCATATCATAGAAAAAAATATAAGAAAGGAACATTACCAATTATTGTTCTTCTTTCCTTTTTAAGGATCTTCACTGACTGTGCCGTTAGCGTTGGCACATTCTGGCCTGACTTGCAGAGGTTGCGGATTCTCAATATTAGCAATTGTGTGTGCCTCAGCTCTTGGATTCCTCTGTTGAACACATTCTGGCATGACTTGCAGAGGTTGCGGATTCTCAATATTAGCAGTTGTGGGTGCCTCTGCTCTTGATTTCCTCTGTTGAATGTATTGTAAAGAAGTTCCTTTGCAGTTTCAGATGTAATGACAATAATATAAAATGTGGATTTTTCATACCCATGCAGTCCTGTCTGATTAAGACTACTGGTAATATTGATAATTGAAACTCTTAAATTAAATTAAGAGTAAGTTTCATCATTATTCAATTCAAGATATCTAAATTTCTAGGTACCAAATAAATTAATTGAGCCTGAATGTAATTTAGGCAAAGTTAAAACCGAGTCCAACCGGCCAGCGGTTTTGCTTAGCGACAGTGTGGGGGAGCCCATCATGGTTCAAGGGTATTGGCAGGCTTTGCTGTGTGGCTGCTTTGTCATTGTGTTGTCGTTTGACCAAGCACTTGTGGAAAGATTTCTCCCTCCCACCCACCTCTCTAAAGTAAGTATACGACATGGTAGGTATCTCCACCGTGGTAGGTGTGACGGGTGCCAGGTGGGTGATGGACTGTGGCCTGGTTGCCATGGTCACTTCTGCAAACAGGCTGGTTAGGCGCGACCATCCCTCGTACCCTGGCACTCAACCCAAACTTATCACTACAAGTTTTAATTAAAGGTTGATATTATTAAGTACGTTCTAGCCTCGCCACAAAGAGAAATGTTGCATGACGATGTGACAACCATAAGAATGTATGGGTAGCAGACTACACAGTTATATGTTATATCAGTATTCCTTACCCTTTTAGTATAACAAAAATAGGCAATTGCCAAGACAGTAAAAAAGAAAGCAATGAAAGCTATAAGTAAGTTGACTATCGCTGTACTGTCATCTAGTAAAAAAATATGTGAAAGAAAATCTCATTATTAATTAAATGGTATCCGGTGTTTTCGCTACCTTGCACTTTCGCTACTTTATACCTAAAAGGACTACTCTCTACCATGTCCAAGCACCTTCGCTATCTTGAGGTACACAATCGCTACCTTTTCTCAAAATGTTAAATATCACAATATCAGGAATATATATTACATAATATTAGTTTCGAGTCTATATCGATAAATTTAAATTGTGTTTTACGGCATTGAAACTCATAAATTTTCTGGTCAGATGTCGATTCGAGAAATGTACACCTAGTGAAGGGAGGATATTTACATCTCCTCATTTACGAAACATCTTAGCAAAAAATTTACTAAGAAAAGAGCGAAAGCAACAAACCTGTTTGATATAACTAACAGATTACGAGACGGATATTCGGCCGAACGTTTTGAAATTTCTTTCTTTAAAAAATAAACATTCAAATAATAACAAATTACTTAAAATTACTGATAATAAACGATCCAAAATGATATAGAGGAGGTTTACAGGCATCTTAAGAATCAGTAGCGATTGTGCTACCTCAAGGTAGCGATTCCACTTCTATTAGTAGCGATTGTGCAGTAGCGAAAGTGCAAGGTAGCAAATGTACTGTAATTCATTAAAATTGCAAACTAAACAATTGCAAGAAGTTAAAATCTGACTGCAAAGAAATAATAATAA